CTCATGGCTGTATTAGATCAAAAGGGTGCTTCTACTAAATACTGAGCAAAGGGTCTGAATACTTAGGACCATGTGATATTTCAGTTTTTCTTTTTTAATAAATCTGCAAAAATGTCAACAATTCTGTGTTTTTCTGTCAATATGGGGTGCTGTGTGTACATTAATGAGGAAAAAAAATTAACTTAAATGATTTTAGCAAATGGCTGCAATATAACAAAGAGTGAAAAATTGAAGGGGGTCTGAATACTTTCCGTACCCACTGTATATGTGTATTTGATTATGTATGGAAAAATGGATAACATTTTTGGCCAATAAAATGCTCATAATAAGAATGTACCTCTCCCATGATTGTTTAGAAATATTGAAGTTAAATATTTGAAATACTGTTCAAATGTTTGGGCTCGATAAGATTTTTTTTTTTGTAAATGTTTTTGAAAGAACTCTTTTATGCTAACCAAGCCTGGATTTATTTGATCAACAATACAGTAAAAACAGTAATATTATGAAATATTATCACCTTAAAGAACTGTTTTCTATTTTAATATATTAAAATATAATTTAATTATGATGACAAGGCTGAATTTTCAGCAGCATGTCACATGATCCTTCAGAAATTATTTTAATATGCTGATTTGGCGCTCAATAAATATTTATTATTAATATCAATGTTGAAAACCGTTGTGCTGCTTAATATGGTTGTAGAAACTGTCCTTTTTTAGGATTTTTTGACAAATACAAAGTTCAAAAGAACAGCATTTATTTGAAATAGAATGATTTGTAACATTATGGCCTGGTTTCACAGACAGGGCTTAGATTAAGCCAGGATTATGTCATCTTGAGGCAAAACAATGGCACTGACATGTTTTAAGATATGTCAGTGCAAGTTTCTTTCAGTTAAAACATCCCATATAGGCATTTTAGTCTGAGACTGGTCTTAAAATCTTGTAATCTTGGAGGTATATTTCCCACTTTTGACCAGTTTAATGCTTCCTTGCTGAATAAAAGTAATAATTTCTTTAAAAAAAAAAATTGACTGACCCCAAACTTTTAAACAGTAGTATATGTAATCATAAAACAATAATGTTGTAGACAGTAGTACAATTTTGGATACCAGAAATCCTCATTATATCCGCACAGACTGGAGACCAGAACTACCCAGTGTTGTTGTTGTTGTTTCCTGTAAATCTGTGTGTGAGTTTATTAAAGTTCTTGAATAATTTATAAATTAAAAAATGTTTAAGACATTTTGTATCACACCGATATCTTTTCCTCTAACCTTCAACTTGTCTTCTCTTTTTTTCCTCCCTTTATCCTTTTTTGTCTTCCTTCCAGCTTTATACACTATGCCTCCCCTACAGCAACAAATAACATGAACTCAACTGAACTAATTGAACCGTTTAATATTAACTTCCTGTAAATTGTTCTCTCTCTTTATGTGTAACAGGGAGAAGTTTCCAAGCTGATGAAGAAGGAAGAAAAGCGTTCAGAGAGAAAACATCATTCATAAATGTGGCTTCATGACTATAGGCAGGTACAGCACTTCAAATATCTCTCTGTTTATTATTGTCATTATTTATATTATTTATAGTATTATAATTATTTTCTGTGCATCATTCAAAGGTTTGGGTCAGTTAATACTTTTTTTCAGCAAGGATATGTTAAATTGAGACAGTAAAGACATTTTATAATGCTACAAATTATTTTATTTTATTATTTCAAATAAATGCTATTCTTTTTAACTTTCTGTTTCATCAAAGAATCCTGAAAAAAGTTTAATGGTTTCCACAAAAATATTGAGCAGCTGTTTTCAGTATTTATAGTAATAAGAAATCAGCATATAAGAATTATTTCTGAAGGATCATGTGACACTGAAGACTGGAGTAATGAATGCTGAAATTTTAAGCTATGCTTCACAGGAATAAATTACATTTTAAAATGTATTAAAATAGAAAACAGGTATTTTACATTGTAACAATATTTCATAATATTACTGTTTTTAATGAAGTTTTAATCAAATAATGCAGCCTTGGTGAACATAAAGGACCCAAATTTTTTGAATGGTAATGTATGGCAAATCATGTTTCGTCATATAACTTTTAACATTACAATTAGACAATTTCACAATACATTTTAATACATTTTTAACAGTTACTTTCTTATATTGTCTGTTTTTGCAGGTATATTTTTGATCTGTTTCCTAAGTGGCGGGGTCACAAGAGCTGAAAAGAGACATTTGGCCTGAAAAAACATCTACAGCTTCCACTCTGAAACGCATAGTCTTCAAAGAGACAATACTTTGACCTATTCCCTTGCGCATGAGCATGCATCACACTGCTGACACACTTCCTGTTCCAAGGGGGTCTTGATGAATTCTACTTCCTGAGATGGGTCCCGGTGAATTCTACTTCCTCTCTGTGTTGGGTCCTATGTAATTCTACTTACTCTTTCTGGGGGACCTACGAGATTACACTTCATTCTTCTTGATGGTTAATAACTGCGCTGACCTGGACCATCAGGAAATCAGAAACTGTTTTGTGTGCCATGAATATCAGATGACTAAATGAGAGGGGTATATTCAAAAGACCCCTTAAACTCCAAACCGTATACTCAAACAAATTTCCCTTTGACCAAAGATGGCACAAAAGCTCTTTTTCGTGTTTTAGGGGGAAAAAACAATAGATGCTGTTGAACCACACCTTACATTCGCCTTACACGTTACCGTGGACCCATGACGTCAGGAGGAGGATCCCTGTGTTTTATTTATTATTATTTTTTTAATTTATAAAACAAAAATAAAGTATGTGGTGGACTTTTCTGTACACAAATCACAATATGTAAAAAATAAAATAACATTTAGTAGTTAGGTTTGGCGAGAGCACCGCAAACATACACTTTACAAGTGCTTTCGACATTTTAAAGACAGTGAAACTTCACATGCTCTTGTATAATTAATTATTATAGCAGGTATGTTTGTATATGTGAAAAGACGGTTCGGTTTTCAGGGGACATTTCCTTAAAATCCTCCGCGAATTTCAACGATTCCCAAAATGGGAATTTATCGAATTCTGTGAAGAAGTCATACAGAGGACTAATATTTTGATGCATGCAGTTCACCTTATTTTAAGAACCTTTTTTTCTAAGTTTGCAAAACACTGTATTTAAAAAGACAAATGAGAAAAGACTTTTTCTTGTGTACACATACAACTCTAACATGTCTCAACTTTTATATTCCAAAATGTCACCCTACAAGTGTACTTCGTGTAGAAACGGTTAAGTGTGAAAAGCTCTAACCAGACTGCTTCCTTAGGAATTCAGTGTAGTATCTGTTATCCTTCATATGGAAGACAGCGTCTGCTGATGTTAGCCTGAGCGCTGCAAGTAAGAGGTGTTCAGAATGTATTGCTAGTAATCAGCATTTCTGTTCAACTATCACTGTATCATGTGTATTGGCTGTACAATGTAGAGGTCTCTCTTTGTCTTCAGGCTCTTTGTAATCATTATAGGAATGTCTTTATAGGTTTTCAAATGTTGGCATTTTGTTTCAGGTTAAGTAAATAACATTCGGTAACACTTTACTTGAAGGGGTGTGCATAAGACTGACATGACACCTTCATAATCATGACATGACACCTACATAATTATGACATGACACATGTCATGAATATGAAGGTTTTTTATGCATGTTTATGACAACTGTCATTAAGTGTCATTCGCTCAGTTATGTCATTTTTAATGCAAATATGACATTATTTGACCTAACCCTAACCTAACCCTACCCCTACCCTTACCCCTAACCATAGCCCATAACAAAGACATCTCAAACAATGTCATCTTTGCATTAAAAATTACATAACTGAGCGAATGACACTTAATGACAGACATCATAAAAATGCATAAAACCTCCTTCATATTCATGACATGTGTCATGTCATAATTATGTAGGTGTCATGTCATGATTATGAAGGTGTCATGTCAGTCTTATGCACACCCCTTCAAGTAAAGTGTACCCTAACATTCTCATCTGGAATCACACTTACTTGTCTGGGATGTCTTTAGACTTTTATTACTTGTAGATTTAATAGCTTATGTATTACAAATGACACACACTGGATGGTCATTATAATTTTAAGTATTACAAGAAATCGTTTCCAATATTGAAATTGTGTGATATATTTTAAGACCAGCGAGTTAATGTGTTGCAGTGTTCTGCATCGATTTTGATAATATAGATTTTTTCTTTAGTGACTACTTTTTGTTTGTTCATTTGTTTCGTTTTCCTCTAATAGAGTCTTTTTAGCTTGTGGTGTGTATGGTGTGAAAAATCCTTTAGTGTGCTGAATTTTGCTATGGCAATGCGATCTGAAAGACCTAGGAAACTAGGTTGTGATGGGGTGTGGTTCTGCTTCCCTGTTACATGTCAATCAAACTGTGGGAGTGGCCTGACATGGTCCAATTGGTTGATTTTGTTTAATATAATATGTTTTCACCTGAGCAACATTTTTGATGTACAATTCTTACAATGAGTGAAGCCATTTAAATGTAACTATAATAGCACTTTGGTTATTTGAGGTCTTCTCTTTTAGAAACTAGCAGCTATGATGCCACCATAATGTTTCAAATGTCTTACAAAAATCTGATTTAAAAATAAAATAAACGCATTGATTTTACAAACCTATTACATTTCTTTTTTATCTACAGTTTCTTTTTCCCCCAGTTTGTGCATTACATCATAGTTCAATGTATTATTCATGCATGTAATATGTATCTAGAGTATATGCTTAATGAGGCATCATGATATTATAATTATTTATTATTAAATTTGAATATGGCTGCAGAGATCTTTATGTATAACAACTCCATTCATAGCTGGATTCCTATTTATAATTTTGGCTATTTATGATTTATTTTATGATGATTTAATTTTCTCTTTTAACGGGCTACATACATGCTTCCTTTGAATGAAGTAGGTTTCTCACTGTTCTTGGAAATGTGGTTTTGCATTTCTCTTGTAGTGCCTCAAATAGATGCTAACTTCTCTATAAACATTGCTTATATCATTACTGAAATAAGAGCCATGAAAACTTGCTGAGCAAACCAGCCATGATTTATCAACTGTGACATTTTGACTATATCAAGTTAAACTAAACATGCTTCGTCTCTGTATAAAACACATTACAAGTGATAATGGTCACACCTTTTTACTCTATTGAAATATTACATCTCTGTCCATAAACGTGAAAGTGAAAGTGACGTGACATGTGGCCAAGTATGGTGACCCATACTCGGAATTAGTGCTCTGCATTTACCCATCCAAAGTGCACACACACAGCAGTGAACACACACAAACCGTGAACACACACCCGGAGCAGTGGGCAGCCATTTATGCTGCGGCGCCCGGGGAGCAGCTGGGGGTTCGGTGCCTTGCTCAAGGGCACCTCAGTCGTGGTATTGAAGGTGGGAGAGAGCGCTGTACATTCACTCCCCCCACCTACAATCCCTGCCGGTACGAGACTCGAACCCACAACCTTTGGGTTATGAGTCCGACTCTCTAACCATTAGGCCCAAGGTGACCTTGTACATTGAGTTTATTGAAGACTGACATATTGTTAAGTCAAAGTCAAATAAGTTTATTGGTTTATTGTCTCTTCTCTCCAGTGTGGTAGTAGAAAAGGTGCCACGGTGCAGAACAAACAGTGTCTCCAAAAGGTATTTGGACACTTAATAATGTATGAATTTCACTTCATTGCATTTGATAACAAAATATCAAAATGAGTAGAATTTGCAAACAAATGAAGCTAGACCACAGAAATTAACCCCATTAAGTGAGCCATGTCAGCTATGTTTGACAGCCGAAAAGTGTCTGAATACTATATTAATTTTGAACAGTAAAGCTATTGTTTTATAATTTCATATCTAACAATGTATTTATGTGCACTGTTTTGCTTTACAATTGTGTTGTGTTTTATTTAATGTTTTACGTTAATTTACTTTATTTAAAATGTTGCTATATAGAGCAATGACATTCATACATTTGTGTCAGCTTAAATGTCAGAATATTTTCAGGATCACTGTATTGCACAAACTTTACCATATTTTACAAATCACACATATCGGTGTAAAATGATTGAGAACCATAAAATTACTTACTGAACTCCAGTTATTTGAGTCAGTTATTTTGGAGGGATTTCTGCATTTTGAAAGTCATGAACATGAGTTAAAAAAAACGGAGAAAAATGTGTTGTAACTCAAGGAGAAGTTAACTAAATAATCTATATAGAGTCTCTGAGCAGGTATGACACATGCACATTTAAGAAGGGAAAAGACTTGTTTTAGTCGTGCATGAATCGGTTAAGTGAATTATTCAAAGATTCACTTATAACAGAGGAAGACTCACTTGTCGTCTTGTCATCTGCTGGCGTATGTAACCCCAAATAAAGGGTAATTGAACGAATCCTTTTGGTGACTATTCCAAAGATTCGAGTCACTTGAATAAATCAAAAAACCCAAACACACTGTCCTCTCCACCACATGACGGCGCCACCATCCTCATTCGCCTGCACTTTCAGCACGCCCAGTCATTTCTTGGACCGTTCCCTCTCCAGTCAAGCCAAACTTGCGCTAACCTTCTTTCTCCCTGGACTCTGAAATCCACTCCCACTCCCACTCCACTCGAAGACCGTCGCGAGCACAAGGAAAGAAGCGCGCGACAACATGGCGGACAGCGAGAGCGACACGGACGGCGCGGGCAGCAGCAGCAGCTCCGCCACCCCGCAGTCCTCCTGCACCTCGGCGGCCGCCTCCAACACCACTACGACCACAATGAACGCCGCCACCAAAGCACAGGGCGTCGTGATCTCCCACTCCCGACTGGAGGAGCTGACAAACCGACTCGCGTCGCTGCAGCAGGAGAACAAAGTGCTGAAGATCGAGCTCGAGACGTTCAAGCTGAAGTGCAAAGCGCTGCAGGAGGAGAACCGCGACCTGCGCAAAGCTAGCGTCACCATCGTGAGTCAGCCCGTGTTTTTATTGCTTTAATCCCCGCGGCACACCTGACAACACCGCCACGGCATGCGAAGACGTCTGAGAAACATTACAAACCACATTGGGGTGCAAAATTAACTTGTTTGGGGGCAAAAATAAGCGTTTGAGTCTATTTAGCTTGCTAGCATTCTAGCTAACTGTGAAAAGAGCCAACAACAAAAGCCAACACTTTAATAGCATTAGTGCTAATGTATATCACAGGCCATCTGCTTCAAAATAGTTTAAATTTCTATATGGACTATTAAAACCCACAATGAATGTGTCTTTGTACATGTTTATTATCTTAACTCCGGTGGTGTTTGTGTACTGACCACATAAGGCGTTTACTGATTTACCACATGCTTTATCATCATGGTTTTAATGCAGAACGTGTTTTTGCACTTCTGATACTCTGCGTTAAGCGAATGAGGTTGCCATTAGTAGTTTATATTTGAGGCCTGTGTCAGGGTGGGAAGTTGGCACTCTGAATATTTGGCTCTAATGCGTCAACATCCTGTATGTGAATCAGCCCTTCACTCAGACCATCTGCATTTAGACAAAGAGCCAGCACTCAAGTGTCACTGGAGAAACACTGACACTGATATCAAGTGCGTTTGCATTTACGACAATCTTTAATGATGGAAATCGATAGTTGGCAGTGTGTTGCTTGTTGATCGTGCAGTTGTTCACTGCGT